CGGACTGCCCATGGCCAGGTATAGTCAAGGCTGACGGTCTTTCGTGCCAGCGAAGCAGGGAGAAAGGGAGATAGAAGTGAAGCCAATTTGTTAATCTTGCTTGTCAACATCAGTGCAACGTACGTTGTGGTGGAGTAGTACTACCCTAGTGTGTACCCATTAATAATTAGAAAAAAAAGTCTTCTTGATTTGGGACAGAGTGTCATTTGCCTTGGTGCATTTGAAGCTGTATAGCATATCAAGCATAATTAGCATCCATAATAACAAATTATTAATTTGAGTTGTACGAGATGTAGCTAGCTAGGTTCTCATTGTGTAAAAACAATAATGTGTTACCTGCAAAAAATAAAAATAAGAAAAATGTGTCGAGATAATGTGTGCTTTTTTGCTTATCTATAAATTTGTTCTGCTCTCACGTCGATGAACCAATTATAACCAAGATAATGTCATATGGTGGCCAAACATTAGTTCCTAGGCATATAATAATACAACTATCCATGATAAGACATACATGACGTCAAGTTTACGGCATTAGCAACAGCTTACCCATGACCATCTGTACTAACTACCCAACTTACTATTCCCTAAAAAAACCCAACTTACCACATGAATGAGAGTTTTTCTTCGACATGACGTCTAACAATATAAAAGAACATGATAAATATAGGGGGTTCTCTTAACATAATTGAGGAACTTATTTTCATCATCACTGATTTCTCGTTTGCATAGTTAAATGGGTGGTTGAGCTTAACATGCATGGCGCAGTTATCGCAAAAAAAAGTTTTTATTTGACATGACATTTACCAGTATAAAAGAACATGGAAAATATTGGGGGTTCTCCTAACATAATTGAGGAACTTATTTTCATCCTCGTCGATTTGTCGTTTGCATGGTTAAAATGGGTCGTTGAGGTTGACATGCATGGGCACTTTTGCGTTGTCCTTTTTCTGTGAAGTGTAAAATATCCCGACTGAATCTTATTGAGTGTTGAATAACATGCATGATCAGCCATAGCTGCACAATTGAAATGTTACGAATCTTTAACTAGCGTCATGTTTGACGAAAACTGATTAGCTCCCAAAATAATTAAGCCTTTTTTTTGCGAAAACCAAAATGATTAAGCGTGCTACCTAATACTATACCGATTTTTAATCCTTTTGACCGATCAGAGATTCCCTTCGCGGTAGTCAGAATGAAACATTGTTGCAAGAAGATCTATATGCCTATAGGCCTATTCACTCACGATCGCTGCTAATCATATGTGGTGCATGCACCAAAGGGGCCTTGTCATGTGCCCTAGCTAGATGCTCTACGTGTCAAGTACCCATGCCAAGTAGTATGCACTTAAGGTCATCTAATCGCCATGATTTGTGTACTTAGCGTACGTAGTGGGTACCTTGCAAACGCAAATGATGAATCCACAACGGCGTGGCATATGGGAGCATGTGGCTAACGCCGCAGCATTCCTATGTATCTGCGCCCGTGCACGGCGTCCCAACCATAGATTCCTGTGACTTGTAGCCAATTTAATACGCAAAGGAAAAGGCACTTTGTTTTCAGATTAGCTGGGTACAATTAGCCCTCTAATCTAATCTTAGTCTGATGCAAGAACATGCTTGGGGCTCCAATCAAAGGCAGTACTAGCTGGTACTACTTGATAGTCCACGGGTAGTACAAGTAAGCTCCAGAAAGGACGATGGATGCATCTGCCCCACTCCTGTATGCATCAGAGAGGGAATACGATAACAATAATAATTATGCTTAGCGGCTGAGAATAAGACATGATCTATACATGTAATGATGTAATCATGTAGCATGTTAGAGAGGTGATGATGTGATCCACAGCCCAAAAGGACGCACAAGTTTCGGTTGGAATGGACGCTCCAGTCCACTGTCCACAATCATGATCGATCCCCGTTCAGCATGTGCGACGCCCCGGCACAGTGACACGTACTTATGCGCCGCCGGTACGTCGAGGTCATGGCGCTCTTGTAACTGAGACGTTGTGCATGAGCGCAGATGCTGCTGGATTGTTGCGGCAAAATTTTATTCAAAACGTCTCGGGGAGTCGGGTATAGAGATAATGAGCAACTCTAAACACCACAATACAGAGGCTTCTAGGCGATGCGCAAACTGAGAATTGTTAAAAATTGAGGTGCATAAAATTTTCAAGCAATGAGACTCGCCTGTCATCGGCTCCTACTTTTTTCGCCATTTTTACTGTCATCCAACTGAACCCGCCTACGGAGCATAGCCCAAGCAGGAGCACACCACATAAGCATAACACACACACACAAAGAGATTTAAGTACTTCTCAAGAGATATTTATGTTCTGAGGAGACGTTACACTAAGACCTTCTTGCCCGAAAAAGCCGAGGTACTCAGCGAGGATGCGAAAATCGGTAAGAGAGCCGAAGCAGATGCTTCGCCCCTGGTTACGTCCATGAGCCAATGCTGCACCGAGACGCCTTTCCTAGTCTCGTCGGTGTTGGTGGACGCAGGGCAATGATTCTTGTAGGTGGATGTCTATTTCAGCGGTGGGGTGCCAATTCCGGGAGCCAGGCGGCGATTTCGACAGTGGAGTTCGAATTTTGGTATGAGCGAGATAGAGAGAAGGGGAATGAGAGGTGGGAGACGGTCTAAAGTTTCCTTCACGCCATGGTTGGAATGCGCTCCAAACGACAGCTCAGAGACGCCAAATATGAAGGACGCTTTCAAGAATTATGATGATGTGGCCCGAGATGGTGACTCTCCTAGAGTGCCCTTTTTGGTAGCGATTGTCATGTTTGACCGTTATTATGGTGATTGGGCACTTACGTTGACTGTGCTACCGTTTCTCTAAGATGTAATTTGTTGGAATCCACATGCTCAAAAAAATTTGTTGGAATCCATGCATGGTGGTGCAAAGGATATGGGAGATATGGTACTTTGCGAGAGAACTCCATGTTACCGCCATAACTATCGGCCTATTCACTTCATAACCGTAATATAGAAATATCTGTTTTGTTTTAATTTTTAGCTAATTCTTAAAACATCAGCGGTGCCCTCGACGTCGTTCCCTTCTTGAAGGTGGCACCTTAGGAGCTCTGTAGCCGGGGGACACCGTTGGGTTGCTGCTGACGATCTGGATCTGGAGGTGGTGCGGTGTGGCATCTACCGCGTCGACGACGGCATGGCGTTGCAGTGTCTTGATGTTGGATGTGTGCTGATGGACACGTGCAGGGTGGTTACGTTGTTTGGCGTCGTGGTGACGTCGACGACAGTTGAGCCTGGCAAGGTCGATACGTTGATCTCTCCTGAAGTTGGGAGGGCGGAAGATGGCGGCGCCGGATTTTGGAGTATGTGTATGTGGTGCTCGATGAGGGTCTGCTAGACCAGTTGGCACCTTAGGCTTGCCGGTGGGCGGCTTGGTGAGACCACCATATTAGATGGTGTGTATTGATGCGAGGTCATAACACATCATCGGGATGTAGGTATAGCAACAGTAGTTGCAAGAAAGACAAATTTTGGATTAATTCATACATTTGTTTTGTTGGGTTCTACTCCCTCCATTTCATAGTGTAGTGCCTATAGATTTTTGTGAAAGTCAAACTTTGTCAACTTTGACCAAGTGTATAGAGAAAACTATCTACATCTATAATACCAAACATGTATATTCTGAAAATATAACTCACGATGTATCCAATGATGTGCATTTGGTATTCTAGATTTACCTACTTTTCTCTATAAACATGGTCAAAATTTGTAATGTTTGACTTTTGCAAAAATCTATAGGCACTACATTATGGAACGGGGGGAGTATTAAATAAGTTAATAAAATGGCTAGCTAGCCAAAGGATCGACACAGCCGCCGCCACCTCTGGCTCCTCTCCCCTAAAAAGCTTAGGGTTCCCCCGCCTCCCTCTGGTGTTGCAGCCGGTCCACCTCGTCTCCAGTAGCCTTAGGGCCATGAGGGTGCAGTGGATTCTGGCTCTTGCCGGCGGGGGGCTCTGTTTTAGATCTCTCTTTGAGTTTTGGGATCGTGCCATGCTTAGAAAGGCGAGACGGCGGTGTCTCCCTGAAGATGGAATAAAGTCTTCACTGCCTAGACCCCTCTCTGGTGGTGCATATAGCATCGTCAGTAGGCGTGTGAAGGCGTGTCTCCGGTGGATCTGGTCATCGTTCGTGTGTCTTTAGATTGGATCCTTCCGATCCACGCTACTCTTTATCGGCGGCGATTGCTATTCTAGTGTGTTGGTCCTACGATGCCTTAGCACGACGACTTACCAACTGTCTACTACAACAAGTTTTGCTCGGCTCTAACGAGGGAGGGGCGATGACGGTGGCGCGCCTGCCATGATTGAAGATGAATAGATCGAAAAAATTCCGCAAAACTAAAATAAAACAAAATAATAAAATGGCTGTGTGCATCTTTCGATGCGAAGGCTGGGTTATCTTTATTTTCGAAAAAAAAACTCTTAAAACATTACATTGATCTCGGCCGCGGTTATCCTTAACATGTGATCTCGGAGTTTATAAAGCGGTGAATCTCGCACATTAAACAGAAAGTTCTTAGTCGATGGATAGTTAGCAAAACAGATAATACAACAGCTAATGACACCCATGGTCCATGGAGAGCCAAGACATTAGCAATTCTTTACCATTACCGGCAAGGAATGCAACCGATTAATTACAACAATCACAAAAATCGTCATATTTATCTTGAACTAATCACTACAAATTTCTTCTAACTACAGTCAACTTGTCAAGCCGTTGCTCACGCGCGGCACCGTCACCGGCTCGTGTTTCGGGGCGCCGCTGGCCGCTACACCAGGCACCGGACCACGTCCGTCAATAAGATATGCGGGCCTCCGGCGCTTGCCGTGCACGCCGGTGGGCGGGCGGAGTCTTCCAGTTGCTGCTGCCACCGCTGCCGCCGCCGGAGTCAAATCGCCAGGACTACCTCATGTGAGAACAGAGCACGTATGCCGAATGGCCTATGCCCATTGATCCGTCAGCAGTCACCACACGAGCTCCTCCGCCGCCACCCTCGGCAGCAACGGCCGCGTGGCGACATCGCGGCTGCTGACGGCTGACACGCCGCGGCGCTCGTCGGAGGAGAGGCGGCGTAGGACGTCCCGGAAGTGGTCCTCGTCGCAGGGGAGCGCGATGGGGCCGCACGCGCCGGACGGGAACCCATATTCCTCCTCCGCCTGCCGGAGCAGCTCCCGGAACACGGGGTGGTTCAGGTGCGCCGCCCGCACCACGAACCGCCGCGACGCCCCGCCCACGCACACCGCCACGTGCCCCGCCGGCACCGACACCGCGCCGTCATCCGCAGCAGCGCGCGCCGCGGCACGGGACCGCCAGCGCCGCAGGGTCTGCCGGAGCAAGACGGTGTTGTGGATGTTGCTGCATTTCGCCATCGACGGCAGTTGAGAGCTGAGCTGCTGGTCTGAGTCTGATGTTGTTGGGTGGGCAGACGAAGAGATGGCTTCTTGTACGTGGCGGGGCAGGATGTTTTATCTACTATCTACTACCACTATAAAAGGAAAAGAAGGACAGATTCAAACAATCATATCCATTCATCATCAAGATCCAATAGTCCAGTGGCCCGGTTGGCAGCACTGCTCCCGTCCGCCGCAGACTGCCGCCGCCGATGAGCCCATCTGATGGCGGTGTGGTCCGCGTGGACCCATGTCCTGGCTCTGGATCCGGCGACCTCCGGCAGAGGCGCGCCTGGCCATGCCTCCCCCGGCACAGTGGCCCGGCTGGTAGCACCGCTCCCGTCCGCCGCAGCCGCCGGCCGGCGAGGGCACAAGCGGTGCCGACCTTCACGCGCAAGGGGATGCGGCAGGAGCAGTCGTGCAAGGACAGGACCAGTCGTCCGGTCAATCGAGCGATCCTTCTTCGTCTCGGCCGCCACGTGCCCCACCCTCGACGACGCCCGTTGTGGCGATCTCCGCCCGGGGTGACCAGCTCTGTGTCGTTTCATGGTGCGCTGGATGGAGGGGTCGCACCGCGGTTGCCGGGACAAGGTGGGTGTCGATGTGGTCTGCTGCGTGCTAGACTCACCAATCCAAGATTCGGCGCTGAGCAAGTTCCTGGACAATGTGACAAAGAGGTTCGGCGAGGACCAAGGGACGGCGAAGCAGCGTCTCAGCAGGCATCCCCGAGCGGCGAGCGCCGGTACGGTCTCGCGTTTCTTTTTTTTAATGAAGGGATTTCTCCCCTGAAGAAGTTGCGTCCTCTCAACTAAAGAAGTTGCGTCAAAGATTGTTAAAGAAACCATTGTCTTTGATGTGCTACGTTTTCTTGTTATACTTGTAATATATTGTAAAAGAAACCATTATCTTCGTTCTCTGTATCAACCAAGAGTGTTAACAAATACCAGTGTACTACTGAATAAATTAGTTGTTCTTGTGACATAGTAGGTTCATCAGTACTACTGAATTACCTGGTAATTGATTTTGATGACGAGAATAGTTATACATCGATGGATCGATCCATGTGTGATTGCGTTCGCCTCTTCCTCTGCTCGCTGACAAAGGGTCCTCTTCGTGCCCTCCCTCGACAGCTCTTTCCAGCAGGCAGGTCGCACTCGCCACACACGACATCTCGCCGAGTCGCCAGATTAGAGGAGAGGAAGAATTGGTATGATGTCTTAGTATTTTTTTTTTGCGAGGGTATGCTGTCTCGGTAAGTGCAGGATGTTTTTTAGGGAGTAAGTGCAGCATGCTGGTGACGAGTTCGGCATTGATTTTGGCTTTTGTTGATTTTTTCTTTGTTGGGAGTAAATTTCTCACTGATTTTCTTATTGCAACTCATTTCCAGGAACCTGATCCTAAACCTGAACATGAGCCTGAAGGATATATCTGAAGGTATATGTACAAGTGTACGAACACATCTCTAAGTTATATTTGAGGAGAGGTATATCATTTTGTCCCGTCCATCATGCAAGCTTTTTCAATTTGTCGATTTTTTCTCTGAATAGTGTTGATTGGCTGAAAGCATTGTTGTTCGGCACTCCTGCAGTTGTACATTTGGCATGGGTTTTCTCCTGCTGCATGATGTGCTAATGATATTTTTTTAAGATTAGACAATATTTGGCATGGGTTTGCTTAATTGGAACCGGAGTAAGAACGAGAAGGAGCTTAAGTAGGGCCATGGCAGGGCGACCTGGAAGGGTGGAATTTTACCTGTGATATGTGATAGGAGATGGTCACCGTAAAACAAGGCGCTAAAGACCTACCAAACTAAAACAATTTCTAGAAAGGTGTCACTATTTGCATCTGAAATATATTGAATGATGAGAAGTTATGCATAATATACTATGTATATATAGTTATATACAATGGTTACCATTACAACTGTGAACACCTATGGTTGTCATGTATACTACATTATTCAGCCAGCATGTGCATTTTGAGATCATTGCTTTCCTAGCGAGTCTTGTCAAATCTCGCTTGCTAATTTGAATATGCATACTGCTATGGTCGCAGCTATGGACTAGCTTCATGCGCAGTTTTCAAAACTGTATAGTTTATGTTTTCATGATTGTTTTCGCAGCTTAACTGCAACTCCAAAGACTGGTGGGAATGTACTAAAGTTTGGCCTCAAGCACATCAATATTACAAAATGTATCGGGGGTTTAGTTCACAGCCCTACGAGTTTAGCTTCAGTAGTTGTATGGAATCTTTGTGAAGATGAGAGAGTGGTACTAGGAAAATTGAAATGGTGCTAATGGAATATGTTGACAGGCCTACAAGAATGGAATTTGTCAACAAGGCTACGAGGATTGGACTGAGCTGATAGTGGAACCACGTAAGAAGGTAACGAACTTCTGCAATATTTTTATGCTAAATAAACAATGCCGATATTGTGTTTCTATATTATTTATTCCCAAGTTTTACACCATCCATAAATCGGAGGCTTATTGCCAGTTTAAATAATGAGAAGGGTCAAATACCTAATAAACCTAGGCGGGAATCTATCTAGCACTACTTCCCAACATGACAAATTGATTAATAGATTGACTTCATTTTTTTGTAACCTGAAGCAGCAAGGTTTGTCCCTACTTTAATTTTTTGTTGTGTCAAGAAACAAAAGAATTATCAATTGTGGGGAAAGACAAAAAAAGAAGAAAATGAAAGGAAAAGAAAAGAAGACAAACAAGGGAAGGACAATAAAAATAGAATCTACATAGGATGATTGAGTTAATGTTAGCTGTAAAATAACTCTTCAGTGTTATGACGTCATCACTTTACAAAGTGTGCGACTTGCCCTGCTATCTATCCTGCACATGTAAGCTGACGTATGCATTCTTCAAAGCTACCATGCTCCTATCCCTTAGCACCATGTTTTTAGGGGCATTTTTCCATCAATTGGATGAATTGGAATTTGTAGTTGTTGCGTGACGTCCATTATGTAGTTGGAGCTGATTTGACTCTCCAAAATAGAGATTTTCCTGCTTATAAAATGTCTATTAAAATTTACAGATTACACGCATCTCATTTGAGAAAGTCAAGCTCTACATCATCCAACAGTCCGTCGTCATGCTATTCTGCTATCATGACTAACCATTTCTGCTTTCCGATTCTCTGACCCTACCATGGGTGCCAGTTTTTATCTGTCTCGATCTCATTTCTAGCAAGGCTTACTTGAGGAACAAAAACATCCGTCAAGCCGTCCAATATTTCCCGCGGCGACTACAACAAAGGTATGTATCCCCTTGAAAGCAGCAAGTAGCAGCCTTATGTTCCGTGTGTTCTTTTTATAGATGTGTAGTGGTAACCAAACAGAAGCATGAACAAAATCGCAACAACAGGCTGCTGCTCTCCTCCCTGACCTCCATCTATATGAAATAGTAGTATAGCACAACATCATAATTAGCAATGGCAGAGCAACCTTAATTACAAAAAGATTCTAATGCATTTATTTTGGCATAGCAGAACATTTAGTGTGTATATCTGAGTTCAACACCAGCTATCATGGTTACACATCTTGGTTTGGTACTCATCAAGTAACATCATGTTGATCCCCCGTTTGAGCTATTGTTTCTGTCCCCTATCTCTCTGTCTGCTATTCTGCTATTTCTTCATAGCAAGTTGATTCTAAGATTCCAATGGTATTTAGAAAGTAGCAAATTTATTTTTATGCGAGGATTTTATTCTTAAGTTTCTGGCAGTATTCACAGTTAGTTTTCTCTGATTTTGTGTATTACGGGCAGTAAGCATCCTTGGGTGTTCTTTACGTGTTTATCTCTAGGGACCTCCTGATGGAGTCCTATAATACCACCAGGCCACAACAGCCAAGCAGTGCGTTTTACTGTAGCCTATATAGCTGTCATAGGTAGTTGTAACAGCATGCTTATCTATTTCTGCATGCCAAGGCAGCATGCTGCTGTTAATTTGGTCAGTTTATTTGAATTGATCTGAGATAAGTCACTTGCTAAAAATAATTGGTGGTGGTGCTTGTCATGTCCCTTTCGATCATGCCCTTTGTGAATTCTCATCGTTTTAGTTTGTCATGGTGTTTGTGTTTGACATGGAATTCGCTATGTTTGTTAGTCTTTTCTTCATAATTTGAGCCAATTGCTGAACATGTTGCTGCTTAAGCTGGCAGGATGATTGAAATGGCTTAGCTTTATCCAGCGTAGTGATGAATAATCTTTAATTTGGAGCGCATGAACGAAACAATGAATTTCTGAATTACAAACAGCGTACAGATTTTCGGAGTCCAAACCAAAATCAAGCATTTACTGTAGGTTGTTGTATTGTTGATCCAGCAACATGCTCTGTTTCTGCATGCCATGGAAACTTTGATGTTGTTAATATGTCAAGTTCATTTGGATTGCTCTTAGATAATTAGGTCATGAATCATATAGCTTGTATATACTGCTTTAAAATACTGTCACAGTGTTTGTCATGGTCATGTTTTACTGCATCCACCCTACAATCAATCTAAAAACATTCTAACCCAGCATCTCGGTCTCCTGTGGACCAATTTTGTAAGCCAGATTGATGTCATGTGTAAACAAAGGCCTACATTCATTCTCCATTTTTCATACTTGTGAAGACCAACTTTAGAAAATTGAACTGTCTGTGATTTCAATCGGGTCTGAAGCTTCTGTCTACTATAATCTTGTTCCCTGCTGATTATAATTCTTTTCACGTAAATACATGAAGTTTGTGATTATAATTACTATTTTTTAAGGTTGGTGTTGACTCCTGACAACCAATAAGATCGCCCTGAAGCAGCCCTCTCTCTAGCACATCTGCTACCATGCACCATTGTTTCATATAATAGATGACAAATTTGTGATAGGCACATTATTTTCATGAATGGATCTGGATCTTATGGAATTTCGGATGGGAAAGAGTTATTTATCTGATACATTGAAAGTTTTTTTGTTTCTATTTATGGT